GATAAATTTGTTAATAAAATTAAAAAATTTTAATCCGCTAGAAGTTTGGTACAAAAAGCTACATAAATTAGTTTTTTCAATCTACTAGCGGTTTAAATCCTAACCGCTATCCGCTAATCTCAAACCGCTAAATAAAAATTTTACCAAACACTTTATTTATAACAGTTTCAAAATATATAAATTTACCAAACACCTATATTTAGCAGTTTAAATAAAACCACTAACCACTACCCCAAAACCACTATACCAAACAGACCCTAATCCTAGGTAGTGTGTTAGTTCAGGCTTCACTTTTCAAATAAATTTAAACAGTCCTCCATATTGGTTGGAAGCAACTAATGTGGGGAGGTCTAAGCCAAAGATATTTTCTTTAGGAAAACCAGGGCCTCATTTGATAAAAATATCCTACTCCCCCAGGACCACCCTACAGCTTACTGTATTCCTGTGGGAATGCATTATGCTTGCTATGGCTTGAAAATCACACATGAATATGAAACAAAGAAAATAGAAATTATTCTTGGATCGAAAATGGTTCTCCTCTTACCAATGATGGAATCTGATTCATCATACAATTATCTCTTTCCATGTACGAAGGGCTGTGACGACTAAAGCATCTCTATCTGATTTGTGCTTCAAATTATAGTCGACAGCTGCTTATTCACAACCACACTGCAGAAATCAGTATCATGTCAAGACAGCAACACAAGCAAATCAGAACACCAATTAAAACAAAACACACTGAATTTTCCTACTTTACCTGTTCACTGGGCACTGATTTACACCAGACGTCATTTATCATAGACATTAACCCAACACTCCACTGCCTCCTCAGGCTAGCAAATGTGAAAATACAAGCCCACTTTCAAATTACAATTTTAGACTGCATGCAGTTGCTTAGTACCTCTTCATTACCGTACAAACATTACAAAGATTAAAACATTTATAATAAAATCCTCATGTATCAGCGTTCTTGACTGTCAGCAATCAATTAATTATTGCTTTTATTCTTTAACAGGCCAATATCTAGTTTAAGACAAAGTGAAAACACTACCCTGCTCAGAGTAACATTTACAAAACACACTTTGGTGTTTAATCTCTTGCACTACAATATCTTAAGTAACCAATTACAAATTTACAATGTACAAAATCACTATAAAACACGGAATATTCAAAATTTCTTTCTACAAAGAGGAGTTGAATTTAACCTTTCTATTAAAGATTACACGCCATGTATCATGATCTCAAAGGTCTAGTAATCCAAAAATGATATTTTAAAGAGATCACTGTAGTAATCATAATTTTATCCATACATTAACTGACTGTATTATGGTCACAATTAGCATTCACGGATTAGTTAGTCTACAACTAGAGGGGCTCTTCAAAAAGTGGTATAACATATGTGCCCCTCCCAAAAAGTGGTATAACATATGTGCCCCTCCCAAAAAGTGGTATAACATATTTTTCCTTGGAAATGAATTTATTCACTGAAATATTAGAAAAAAAATGCTTTTCCTAGCACAGCTGAAATGACGGAAAATGAAAAGAAGAAAATGTAAGTCCATCATTACCATCCAATCTATAGTTAAATTTTAACATATATTTCCAATACTACTGTGTCCAAAGTCTCACATATATACAGGATAAATGCTTACTAGATTATCTTCTAAATGGAGATCCTTTTCTTGGTCTATTATTATTCCTTCCATCCCATGCTGAGGCCCAGAAAAACAGAGACATCCAGAAAAGAACAGCAAAGAAGATCCGAACACGGTTTTGGAAACTAGAGAAAGTTCCTGCAAGACCTGTACCAGGGACGATGTCATGATATAGATATATAATATATACATACACGATGCTTTGGTGAATCAAAAAGTAGTTTTGGAATTGCATTAGTAAGATCAGATTTAATAAAGGGCCCAAGATTACACATCTCTACAGTCCAGAAAGATAAAGAATTAAGCATGCATCAGATACATTCCTTAGGATTAGTCCTACAAAACTCATTCAGCACAGATATAATCTTGGAGATGCTCATATAAATTGAATTCTAAAATAAGGCCAAGCATAAACTTTTAATTCACATTGTTTAGGCATTGCTAATTACATCAAACTTTGATATGTTCAACTCAATACTGTAAATCAACTAAACTCTATGTTCATTACTAATTGATTGTTGTGACTCATTGGAAGGACCAAAACCTATGTGAAGCAACCAAAAGAAAAAAGTAGTAACCTAAGTACATGACCAACAACTTAGTAATATTACTATGACACCCTGAAGTGAATACGACATCAGGGAGAAAGCATGAGTTGTGTATTTTATACAAGTGTCATGACCAATTACTACTAATAACTCGAGCTTGAACTTTTGAAGTCATGTGGATCTCACCCCAGAGAGTTTTTAGGCCAATGGGGGCTTTGGCCCAGGTCATTTCAATTACCACAAACTCTCTTTTACTTTCTATTATTGATAACGTAATGTTAACCAAATAACTTTAACTGGTGGAGAAGACTTAAAATATTATTAGATGTGATGACAAAAGTGCTCGATGGCTATAACAAAATGAAGATTAAAACAAGGACTACATAGAATTGCATATGCTCCAAATGTTACTTTGGAAAGCACAAGCCTAATCTGTCAAAAACCCATTGTGCCCAAAAAAAGCACAAACTACAAGCAAAAGCCTTAGTCCAGAAGAGATATTTCAGCTAAGTAGGGCTTTCTCTATCTCTCTTATTTCTATTTCGTTTTTACCAGCTGCTCCTTCTCCTACTACTCTAAATTTTAATGGCATATGTCTTAAGGGGTCAACCATTAACTTTCAACAACCAAGAGAGATCTTTAAAGATTATTCAAACCACAAAAGCTCTAAATGTGTTTCACATTTAAATTTCAGCTAAGTAGGGCTTTCTCTATCTCTCTGATTTGTTTTTTATTTTGAGCATTTTATGATTTCAATATTTTATGGATCGGATGGAGGATAGTCGGGACCAAAACATTGTTTGTCTATGACATGGTTATACCATAAAAACTTGTCAACATGTTCACAAGATGAGCCTCACAGGTCTTATTGTTGTGGATATCATTCACCAAAAAGTCTACGCTAAGAATACTAACCTATTTGATTTTGTAAGAGTTCGTGTAGTAATACCAATTACCTTCCCAAATAAAGGGTATCTGGAAGTTTTGAAGACAGGATTGACAGTTACTTGGTCATATTCGCAAACTAAGAACCAAAATGGCTGGGAGAAACTTAAATTCATAAAACCATCAAATGATTATTTTATAAATTCCAATATGAAACATAAAAACCAGATATCCAAGCTCAAATTCTATAAAGTTGTCATTCTTAAACGCCAAATACAATTGAAAGTCAAAACAACCACCATAATCACATATTATCTAAAGCAGATAGAGATAGTCTGAACCTGGAGGGCGCGACGGGTTGGGATCCTGCGGGGAGGGAGGGATAGGACTGGCGGAGAAGCAGCAGCTAAGGCGCGCATTAGGATTGGTGCTGAGGTTGAGCGATGGACGGCGGTGACGAAGCGGAGAAACGATCAACGGAGATGGTGGATTTGTATTGATAGTGGTGGCGCTGAAACGGGTGGAGTGCTTGAAGTGGTGCGTCGGCGTTGGCGTACACACGGTGGCCATTTCCATTTCTGGTTTCCATTGAAAAGAGTTCGGTTTAAATATAGAAAGAGAAAAATCAATCAATAGATAGATAGGCCTTATGGGTTTGGGCTTTGCATGACCCATTTGAATTTAACAAGACTAGCCCAATTTGGACTTTAGAATTTGGAGTGACAATAATAATTTCTTTTATAATTTTATAATATATTTAAGTGGAAGGGAATGAAGAAAGAGAGAGGAAAAAATTTGTTAATCAATCAAATTATAATGTTTTTAAAATATTATAATTTGATTGATTAAAAAACCTTTCTCTCCCCTCCCTTCTATTCCCTCGAACCTAGACATATGGTTAGAGAATGAATGAAGGGACTAAGATGTAAAAGGAGAAAATGGAGGGACTAATTTCAAAATTACTTTTAGAGTCAGTATTTCTAATTTAAAAAGGGTTGATGGCACCAAAATAGAGAAAACCCTAGTAGAGACGTAGCCTTAGTAGAGATGTAGCCTCTCCTTCTGCCATGCTTATGGCATTTCTTAACCTTTTCTTTCTATTCTCTATTTATTTCTTTTATTCCTTTTTCTTTTATTCACTTTTCTTTTTGAATCAATCTTTATGTTCATCAGGCAATCCTTTTCTCTACATAGCTACTTCTGTGGTAGCCAGTATGAAAATTTCTATCTTTTCCTTTATTCTGATCTTGGCTGGAGATTGTGAAAGTTTATAATCTTTTCTTTTTTTTTGTATTTTGGGTGTGTGTGGTTTATGGGAGGCTTGGTGTGACTATAGGTGATCTTGTAATGAGAGTGTAGCTTAGTGTAGCTTCCCCCAATTATTTCCTTTAGTGCTGAGTTGAAAAGAAGCTCTTTGGAATACAGTTGTCTAGCCATGGTGGTTAGGGCACGTCGACAATAATTTACCTCAAAGAAAGATAATGTTCTTATATGATGAATGGGATAAACCCACTATCTGAGGTCCGCGGGCATCACTCAAAGATGGAGATGGTGGAACGACGATTGTGGCGGCACGAATCATTCTAACAAGGAGACAGCGATGTTTGGCAACCATATCTTGTTCGAATTTTTTGGAAGATGAGCAGAAATCAAGGCTCTCATTAGATTAGGGCATGGGAATACTTATCAAATTATTCAGCCTAAAAATCTGAGATTGAAGCAAATATTTATGAAAGGCAATCTGGTAGGTGGAGGAAAAGAGGAGATTGTAGGCATTAATTGCGAAATATTATGGTATTTTGTTGTAGTTAGGAATTCCTTAGATAAAGGGTTTTGGTGGTTAATTAGGAAATGAACCCTTTTATTTATATCGTTAAGGAAAATGATTTTAGTATAATTTTTTTGTATCACTTTTTGGTATAATTTTTTTGTACCATCTTTTGTATAATATGACGTGTTATTTAAATAATTGATTTTTTTTATTCATACGAGACTGGTGATATTGAATGCATCCACTCATTAAATGACATATGCATCCACTCATTAAATGACATATGAAAGTTATATCAAAAGATAAAATAAAAAACTTGTCCTTATAGCATCTCCCTATTGTCAATAGTTTAGTTATAATTAGAAGGATTTATTTAAATTGGCAAATTTGGGTAGGATTGAAGACGGTCACATTACAAGAGATCCATTTTTTCCCTACTTAAGTTCATAGTAATTCATTCATTTTTATGAATGAAATTTATTTTTCCATTAAAAAAAAGGGTTGATAGCCAATCATAATCTTTTTCTTTGGGTTTAGGTCACCACACACTCTTATTTTGCAATTCAAAAATAAAAATTAAAAAGAAAAAAAAAAGTTTGATCAAAACTAGAGTTCAAGGGTTTCAGTCATTGCCACAAGCCTTTTGTTATAGCCACGCAAATGGCATAGCAAGTGTATTTAGCTTGGCTTATTTTATCCATTTATAATTTTATTTTTTTTAATATATTTAATTATTATATTTATATTAAATATTAATTTATCATATTAAATAATAAATATTAATTATTCTATTAATTAATAATTACGGTTATTATTTATTTTAATAATAAAGTATATTTTGTATGGACTTAATTAAAAAATTGTGTGGCCGAACGATGGCCCTGTTCAAGTGGAGTCGTATTCTAAGGAGCCCACGTTTTACCATTTGGATACAAGCGGTGGTTTGTTGTAAGCTTCTACCGTTCCAAGCAATGCCAATGAAGAAGCAATGATGATCTCTTATATTGCTCAGAAAAGCATAAAGAAAAGAAAGCGAAGTTACCATATATATTATTCACCATCGGTCTTGGTAACGTGACGTTTAAGAACGTGCAGGGATAAGTCTTTTCGATCCATGTCTGTTACTACCACACGTACTACTTAAAATATTAATTTACCACTACTTCAATAACAGTATTATACATAACATTTAATTAAAAAGGGAAAAGAACGGAAGGATGGAGAAGAAGAAGAAGTGAAGGAGGAGGAGGGGAGAAGGAAGATCATACACCTGAACCCCAGTTTCTTAATTTACTAAGTAATGGCATATGTTGGAAGAAGAGGAGAGAAAGATTTAACATAGGGGCTGGCGTTTCAAGGTTGAAAGAGCTTATCTCCGCATTTGCATTTCCATGAAAGCAAATAATAGCTATCATCATCCCCTTCTCCACGAGAAGCTGCAGTGAAACTCATCCTCTTGTGGAACTGGGAGGGAATAACAAGAGTCGCTACGCAAGGCTTGCAGTTCAAACACTTGTTCACACAATCCGGTGGCTTTGATCCCAACACCATTTCACTTTGCTCATCGCTGCCACCAGACACCGGTTCAGGCGTCGACCAAACTGCATGCGAAGAGGAAAAACCAAGGCCCAAAAATCACCATCTTTAATTTGAAACAGGTAACTTCCACTTCCACACGGTCACACACAATAAATAAATATTGGAATAAATAGCACATGTACTAACTTCTGTAATGTTTTACTGATAGAAAAAACCAAAACACACCAGCTATCTAATTAATTGTCTGGGGTTGGGTAGATTTACCTGATTTGGGAGGTAGAAACGTTAGAGAAAGGATGAAAGCCACAGTGAGTGCAACTTTAAGTGGCCCATTTGAAGATGGAGCCATCACTGTTGGAAAGACTTTGGGGTTTTGCTTCTTCTGTGTAATAGCGCAGGGAATAAGGAAATTAAGGATGAGTGTGTTTTGAGAGAGGAAGGGGCCTAGGGTATATATGCTGACTGTATATGAATCGTCTAGGTGTGTGTGTTTCGATTTTGGAACAGTTTTAGGGGGGAGTCAAGTCTGTGGAAGAAGAGACATGTCTGTATCCTGTAGTGTCAATGGCTTGCTTAATGCTTACCAATTAAAAACTTTCTTGTGTTGAAAAAATAATCTTGGTTTTGTTTTTTTATTTTTGGACGCTTTTTGGGGAAATGGTGTGATTGACTTGGAAGGTTTTGGGAAAGACTGAGGTGACTATTGGTTGATCTACCGTTATCTGACCTGACCATTCTAGTGGCACAGCGTTTCATCCGCAAAAAGCTCCCAAAAAAAACAAACCACACTCGATTTTTTTAATAAGAAATGTGAACGGGTTAAAACTTTTATGAGGATAGTAGTCAGAAGGAAGAACAAGAGTTCAAGCGTTAGTCATAAATGAAGGTTGAAATAAAGATATTAATTTTATTAATTTTAAATAAAAATATTAATTTTTAATTTTTTTATTTGACACTACAAAATTAAAAAAAAAATTAAAAATTAACATATTTAAATAAAATAATTAAAAATTATTATTTTATTTAAAAATTAACAAAATAAATATATTTCTTTAAAAAAATACGAGGTTAATATCCTTACTTGAATTTTCTCATTAGCCATATATAAAAGTAAGAAAGTGTCTTTTACCCAATCATATATTTGATTAGTTACTCAGATTTTTCTCAAGATCCCACACTATATAATTAAACATATAATACATTTTTTATACAAATTAATTATTAAAAATACAATTAATGTATTTTTAGGGCACATTTTAAAAGTAAATTGTAAAAGTTTTGAATTCCAATTTGGAGAGAAATGAGGAGAAGTTTGGAGAAATTAAATGATAGGTATTTGCAAATTGAAATTGATTCACTAATGATTTTTTTTTTT